GTCAGTCCATTGTAAGTCCTCAGTTAATATCAGAAGTATAAGAATTTAATACATATATTTTCTCATGTTACAATTCTTCAAAATTATTTTTATATAGTTACCTAGCATTCAACCATAGAGATGAAAAATAATTGATTTAACTCACTGCCTATTGTAATACATTTTTGGATTATTTCCAACACTTCCTGGCTATATATTTGCTTATTTTCTTCAGATTAATCTTAAAATCACTTTGCCAACTTCCAAGAAAAATATTCTAAGAATTTTAGTTGGAATTATATTAAGTCTATACAGTTATTTTGGGGACATTCTTTTGCAAAGTTCAGTATCTTGTCCTGGGCTATAGCATATCCATCTGCAGATTCTGGTCTTCTTAAAAAGTGAATCTTGTATTTTGTAATTATTTTCATGGAAATCATATATTTTTATTTTAACATTAATTCTCACGTATTTCATAATTTTGCCATTAGGAACTATTAAATAGAATTTATTCTTATTTCTTGCTGTTATGAAATATTTAGTATTTTGTTTTGTGGCTATTTATAAGGAGGCTATAGTTTGTCATAGTAAAAACATCAAACCTTTTCTGTGTATGACTGTTTCTATGCCTAGAAAAATGTCGGCTTACATCCTGAATTTAGAGCAATTTTTACCTATAACTTATTTTAGTAAAAGCACTTTTGAAAAATAAGTTTGAAGTCTGTAATGTAAATGCACCGCTAAGCAATAGGTCGATTTTATAAATAAATCATTTAAATAAACAGCATGCTTACTTCATGTCTCTTAAACAAAGAGTCCGCAGGACCATCTCAGTTCAAATAGAAGGAGCAAGAACTGAAGAGAATTCCACACTTCACTAACAGGTCCATTAATTGGTTATAAACTACAAAAGCTCAACATTTACTAAAATACCGCCTTCTTTGTAGAAAGAGGTACCTTAGTATCTTTCTCACACTTTGTAATTGTCTTGTTTATTTATTGTTTACTTGTTTATTATCTATTCCCCACCCCACTCCCATTGCCACTGTAATTTCTATTACAGCTGGAACAAACTTGGTTGTCTTCTTTACTATGAGGATAAATACCAAACTCCAGTCTCATTCACTGATTCATTGATTCATTCATTCATTCATTCAATATATATGTATTAATCTGCTATTCTTGTTAGGAACTGTTGTTTATAGAGACAAGGTCTCTGGCCTCAAAGTGTTTAAAGATAGAAAGCAAACAAGCAAATAATAACATAATTTCAGGTAATTGTAAGAACTGTAGGGGTGTAAGGCAATAGAATAGACTGAGCAGAGTGGGGAAGTGTACTGTTTCAGAAAGAATTGCCAGTAAAGGTCTCTCTAAGGAAGTAAAACATGAACAGAGACCTGACTAAGATGGAAGTTTTAGAGGGAAAAATATTGCAGGTAGACTGAACAGTAAAGATCTTGAGGTGGATAAACATGGTGGTCCAAGAAGTGGCAATAATACCAGGGAACAAAGGAGAAAATGGAAGAAGATGAGGCCAGAAAGGCAAAACATGATCAGGTCATGCAGTGAAGTCCTTCATCTCTCCAGTAGTGCTTTGCAAACTTTGTGGTGCATACAAATCATCTAGGATCTTGTTAAAACACAGACTCTGGTTCAGTTGGTCTGGGGCAAGGGCTGGGATTCTGAATTTCTAACAATGTTTCAAAGGATGCTAATGCTGCTGTTCTGAAGACCTCTCTTTGAATAATAAGCTTCTGAGCTATGAGAGAACTGTTGGATTTTATTGTAAATATGAAGTAAAGCTATAAAAGGGCCTTGGAGTTGGGATAAACAACTGATTTACCTTTTTAAAGGACCACGAAGCCTGCTGTTTGTAGAAAAGTCTATTGGGGAGAAAGTATGGAAGCTAAAGACCAAAAAGAAGATCGCTTCAGTTAGGTAACAGATGATCATGGCTTGAAATAGGGCATGCAGTGATACATTTTGATTACAGAGTCAACAGAATGTTCTGGTGGATTGCACGTTGGAAGTAAAAGTCAGGGTGATGAAGACAGACTACTAGTTTTTAGACTGAGCAACTGGGTGATTCGTGGTTCCTGTCAAGAGCTTAGGGGAGACTGCTTGATAGGAGATGGAAGTTTGGGAGTCATTAGATTTTAAAGCTGCAATTAAATGAGCTCATCTAGGAAGTGAGTATATATAAAGAAGTGATTTGAGATTCAGAAGAGGAAGAAAGCCCAAAGAGATGGAGAAGGAGCCACCAGTGACATAAAGGGTGGGGGGGAGGAGAACATCAGATGCCCCCAGAAGTCTAGTGAAGAAGTGCTTTGGCACAGGGGCAGAAGGAAATTGATGAGGAGGATAACCAAATACCTGTGAGAGTCCAAATAAAATGAATTAGAATTGACCACTGGATTTTGCAAGATATGGAGGTTATTGCTGATTTGAGAAAGGTGGCCTTGATGAATAGGGTACTGAATCTTGGCTGGACTCTAAGAAAGAGAATGGGTGGTGGGAGAGACAATAGACACTTCTTTCAAAGATTTTTATTACAGAAATGGGTCATAACTGGAAAATGATAGTGAATCAAAGGATTTTTATTTATTGTTTAATTTTTAAATGCTCTTATTTATTTTTGAGACAGAGAGAGACAGAGCATGAGTAGGGGAGGGGCAGAGAGAGGGGGAGACACAGAATCCAAAGCAGGCTCCAGGCTCTGAGCTGTCAGCACAGAGCCCTAAGCGGGGCTCGAACCCATGGAGTGTGAGATCATGACCCGAGCCAAAGTCAGACACCCAACTGACTGAGCCACCCAGGCGCCCCTCAAAGGATTTTTATTTAAAGATAAGAGATAATGAGACATGTTTATGTTCTGATATGAATGACAGGTATGAAACTGTAATTTCTCATATGAAATATACATTTGGTCTTTACCCCTGTTTCCTTACAAAACTCCTAAAACCCTTGAAATTTCCTAAAGATGTCTTTTGTTATGTTAATAAGGTGACTTTTGGAGAGGCCCCCAGACTGGGGCCTGGATGCCAAGGGAACCAAACCTGTGAACAGAGAGTTGAACTCTCAGTCCTTCCCGTTCCCCAGGCTCCTGGGAGGAAAGAGGGACTGGAGAATGAATTCAATACCAATGGCCAGTGACTGAATCAATCATGCTCATGTAATGAACCCTCCATAAAAACTCAAAAGGATCAGGGAGCTTCTGGGTTGGTGAACCTGTGGAGTTACTGAGACAATGACACCCCTTGAGAGAGCACCTGGGCTCGGTGTCCTTTCCTTATTCCTTGCATCTGTTCCTCCTGGCTGTTCCTCAGTTATATCCTTTTATAATAAACTGGTAAATCTAGTAAGTACAATGTTTCTCTGGGTTCTGTGAGCTGGCTCAGCAAAATTAATCAAACCCAAGGAGGAGATCATTGGAACCTCTAATCTATAACCAGTTTGTCAGAAACAGAGGTGACAACCTGGAATTGCAATTGGCATCTGAAATGGGGGCTGAGAGCAGACTTGTGGGACTGAGCCTATAACCCATGGGATCTGACACTCTCGCCAGGTGGATAGTCAGAACTGAGTCAAATTGGAAGGCTCCAGCTGGTGTTGGAACATTGCTTGGTGGAGTGGGATAAACCCCTACACACTGGAATTGGAGTCAGAATTTAAACAGATCAAGAGGAAAACATTAGTTACATAGGTGGAAAGGCTGGCTGTGAAGAGAGGAGACTGTGTCAGGAGGGAATGTAGAATACGCTTGTGTGTGTGTACACACTCTGTATGTACATATATACACACACACGCACACACACATATATATACATATATATGCAAAGCTGCATGTAGGCTGTTAGATCTGGTGGTAGGAAGATGCAGCACTTTTCTTCTGGATGTTTTAATTTTTCAATAAAATGTGAAGAAAGGTCATCAACCAACAGTGAGAAATGAGGAAGGAGTATTGGAGATGTAAGCAGTGAAGAAATGGTGTGATATAATCATCTCGGAAGGTGTAAAAACAAATGCAGCAGGGTAATGTAGTAGGATTCAAAAGGCAGAACTGTGGAGCCATTTAGGATATAGAAACATAATTAAAGTGAGACAAGTGGGATTTCCTCTCATCACATTTATATACTTAGAGAGCAAATGGTAAGGTTACTGAGGACACATGAGAGAAAGAAATTGTGATAATGGACCATGGCATCTAAACCAAGAAATAAGGAAGTGAGGGCTTGAAAAGTGGTGAATTAGTGGATTGTTCAAATGGGACCAAAAAACAGTTGTTACAGTAAATGAATTGAAAAACAGGAGGTTCTTTGAGCTCTCAGGTAAATAAAACCCTATATAACCCTCCCCTGAAATTCTCCAAAGGTACTGGACAGTATGACCTTCACCATGTGAACATAGCTTGAATTGTCGTGAATGTTTCTCAAAAGGCTCACCATTGATTTGCTTTGTGCAGTCATTAAATGATTTTATGTACATAAAATTTCTTAAAAATAGATCCGTTGAGAAAGGCAGGGTCCATCCATAACAACAATATCCCCTTTTATTTTAAAGTATTTTAAAATGTTTTTTTTTTAATTTTTTTTCCAACATTTATTTATTTTTTGGGACAGAGAGAGACAGAGCATGAACAGGGGAGGGGCAGAGAGAGAGGGAGACACAGAATCTGAAACAGGCTCCAGGCTCCGAGCCATCAGCCCAGAGCCCGACGCGGGGCTCGAACTCACGGACCGCGAGATCGTGACCTGGCTGAAGTCGGACGCTTAACCGACTGCGCCACCCAGGCGCCCCGTATTTTAAAATGTTTTAATGTATCAAAGCAAAAAGCAAAAACATCATTCAAACCAAACAAGTTATTAGAGCACCATCCTTAAGTGCTGTTTTGTCACTTTGCTTATTATTCTCTCAATAGTAATAAAGCAGAAATCGCATCACCAAATATGAATGCTAACACATTTCCAGGATAATGTGAACAGGAAACAAATAGAATCTTGAAACATCATCTCAAATACTCCTCAGAAAACTGTGAGGAGGGCAAAAAGTCCATAAAGTAAGGCACAAGGGTAGGCAATGAGAAGCTGCTGTCCTTCCATGTTCAAGGCTGAAATGAAGATTTTGGAAGCTGAGAGACTACACCAGCCAACGATGACCAGTGCCAACACAGTTCCAAAGGTGCCCCTATAGCAAAGACAAAAGAGATGATTACCTTATGTCAAGAGGAAAAAGAGATTATTGAATCAGAGCTGCTTCTGAAATGTCCTTGGTACAATATTTATAACTACTTTCTCCATTTGTAAAATGAGGATGAGGAACTGTATGAACTCAAAGGCCTCGCCCAGCTTGAAAATCTGTGAGTCAAATTCCCCGTCGGAGGTAAACATTTTGTGTTTTGGTAAAGCTTAAACTAATAGAAATACAAAAATTCACCTGCAGTCACTCTCATCTGTCAACATTCACATCCGAGTTCCTGAAAACCTTTTATATAAATTATGTTTAGGGTCTTCTTTTATAATTACAGATTCCTTTTCCCACACTTTCTTCCCAAATTTATTCCCGGTGTGAGCAGAAAGACAACTGGATTTGCACTCCAGTAGGGTGCCCGGTCAATGCTCCCGGGTCCACTTCTCAGGTTCCTATCTGAGACAGCAAAGCCTGACATAATTCAAGGAGGGAACACATATATGTATGTGGCCTCCCACCTCTTCTCTGAAGATTCTTTTTGTAGGTGTATTGTGGGTCTTTTAGAATATTGGAATGCATTTGTTCAAGTTGGTATCTTCAAAAATAACCGTGGAGGCAATTGGCTCTTTAGGAAGAAATGGGCAAATAAGGCTAAGTCTAGCCACCTTGGGGATAAAAGAGGAGGTGTGGATAGTAAAGAGTGAATTTCTTTCCATATGTGCAAAACAGAATGCGTTATTTAGAAAAATAAGCTATAAGAGCTAGGAAAGATCAGGAGATCTCTAGTCCCCAGCTTTAGATCAGTGAAGTGACACGAGGAAAATTGCATGTAAAATGGGCATTAGGTCAAGATCTCCTAATACCTACTGGCACATAGCTCCTTTCACCATCGAACTGCAGTCTCACTCGATCCTGGTATGCTGAAGTTGAGAATTTTGTTTACTATTTGCAAGAAAGACAAAAATACTTACGTTTCAAAACTGAGCCAAAGAAAAATAAGTGAAAACTACAATGTAGCTTATAATGCCTTAGATTATAAATAAACCAAAAGCATTTAAAATGCTCTCGAATGAATATTATATCCCTTGGTTTAATTAATATCTATTAGGAGTAATTTATAGGTTGATCTAATATACAGGTTTTTATGAACAAAAGTATAAAATTATATATATGATTGATTTGAGTGATATAGTAATATACCCAAAAGGGAAAATTCAGTTTAACAGTCCTCGGGGTCAGAGAGTTTACTCTCCTTTAATATAATTTAAAAGATTTCTAAATCGTCCTTTATAATTCAGAATGAAAATCTAATGAAAAAAAGTCCAGACTTCTGATGATTCTCAAAATCAAAATATTTCAGTTTTATTTTCTTCCCCTAATAATCTGGAGTCAGATGCCCCAAACCTCAACTTTGCTGGAAATAATGTTTTAAACTTAAATTTTTTAAATGGTATATCATTATAGCATTCTTTGGTAAAAGCATTAAACAGAACAGAAGTTGCAGGACTAAACTCTGTATTAACTTGTCAACTGTCTAAACCAAACAACTTAATAAATGGGAAAGCTTGCTAAAGAACATGATATACAAAAAGGGGCATTTTTCCATGGATAAAACTCAGTAAGTATACCTGTAACTCACATTGTATTTACACATTCAAGGTGTCCATTTTCTGTTACATTTCTTTCTTTAATGTTGAATACTTGTTGATAAACTGTTTGCTCTAAGCTAGTCTCAAGAATGACACTTTAAAAATTAAACCATATTGGAGAGCCTGGGTGGCTCAGTTGGTTAAGCATCCAACTTCGGCTCAGGTCATGATTTCACGGTTCATGGGTTCAAGCTCCACATCAGGCTCTGCACTGATAGCGTGGAGCCTGGAGCCTGCTTTGGATTCTGTCTCCCTCTCTCTCTGCCACTCCCCCACTCACACTCTGTCTCTCTCTCTCTCTCTCTCAAAAATAAATCAGCATTAAAAATATATTTTTTTTTGGGTCCGCCTGGGTGGCGCAGTCGGTTAAGCGTCCGACTTCAGCCAGGCATGCTACGGCCAAGGGCGCCCGCTTGGGCAAGCCAAACCGATATGTTCCAAGTCGCAGCGTCTTTGCAGTTGAAGCTAGATTTAAATCAAAGTTATGCTTTTAACCACCATTCTTAGTTTTCGCGTTTTAATGGCATAATCAACACACACAGAAAGCAGGTTATCCTTATTACTTTCTTTTTGATTCCACCAACATATCTACTTAAAAAAAAAAAAAAAAAACTACTGTTGTTGTTATAAAAGTTATCTATTCACTTATAGAAATTAAAAATACAGAAACATATGAACAAAATTATGAGAACCACCTAAAAATTTTGTCTGTATGACATAAATCACCACATTAATGATTTGGCTTCCAGTTTCATTATTCTATTTTTCTGAGTAAAAGAGGTGTGTGTGTGTATAAAATGCATTTATGTGTATGGGGGGCTTCTAGATGGCTCAGTCAGCAAGCTAGTCAACTGCTGAGGTCATGATTCACGGCTTGTGAGTTCGGTGTTCGGCATTGGGCTCTCAAAGCTGATTAGCGCCCAGAGCCCGGAGCCTGTTTCTGATTTGTGTCCCTCTCGTCAGTCTTCCCACTTAGCTTTCTCTCAAGAATAAATGAAACAGGTGTAAAAATTAAAATGCATATATGTAAATATTTTAATGTGATGTATGTATATATTTAAGTATATATGCTTAAAGTGAAATGCTATATTTTTGAATATGTATTTAAGGAATACTCAAAAATGAAAGTTAGATCATAATAAATGGCTATAAAGTTTTGTACTTTTTAAATGTTTAGCTTATTTTTTGAGAGAGAGACAGAATGCAAAACCGATGAGGGGCAGACAGAGGGAGACACAGAATCCTGGCAGGCTCCAGCTGTCAGCACAGAGCCTGACACAGGGCTCTGAAACTCACAAACCGCAGAAGTTTATAACCTGAGCCAGCTCGACGACACTTAACTGGCTGCTGAGCCACCCCAGGTACCCCATGTGCTTTTTGTACCTTTTAAAGTTATCTATATCAAAAGCATTTCACATGCATTCTTAAAGTCAGTTGATTGACATACATGATTTAGAATGGTTTAATAATATGTTTTGTCATATAAAAAGTTATATAATTTAAACCCACCTAAAGGTTGCTCATTATAGTAAATTTTGTTGAACAATCATAAGTGAATAACTTTGACTCCACAGAGAGTAGTCCTTGATTGGTTCGCAATTAGATTACTGGATCAAAAGGTACTTACATTGTCAAACTGATTCTAGAAAAAGGATCGCCTACTACACCATCAATAATGTATCATAGAAACATGAGATGTCTTTTAAGATGGGCAAAAGGAGTGCTTTGTAGTTCTTATTACTACATAGAAATGTTAGACATGTTTTTTCCATGTTTATTGACTGCTCTTCCTGCTTTTTCATGTTGTCAGATTTCTTATTGAATCTTAAGATTTTTCTCCTTTCCTTGTTTATTGAGGAAGATATTTGTGCATGTTTAGTTATTTTTATTTTTATTATTTAAAAACATTTTTAACATTTATTGTTGAGAGAGAGTGAGACCCAGCACTTATGGGGGAGGGGCTGAGAGTATAAAAGCTAGGGAGACACAGAATTACAGCAGGCTCCAGGCTCTGAGTGGGGCTCAAACTCACGACTTCATCAAGTGTATTCCGAACCGAAGTTGGATGCTTAATTGACTGAGCTCAAATTCACCAGGTGCCCCTTTGGGATATTTGCATGTTATGAGTTATTTAATGATTGCCTGAATATGTGTTGCAAACATTTTTTTTTTTCCTAGATGGTGTTTGGCCATCTAATTTACAGTTAATAGTAAAATGTTACATACTGAATTTTGTATTGGCTTATGTTTTCAAGTCCACAACATTTTTCTGGTAAATTTTTCTTTCTGATTGCTCTTTTGTTTATATGGCCCATAGCTCTGAGTACCGTTTTGTATCCCATATTCTTAATTTTTAATGAGATCTTTTGTTTTGCACCTAAATTTTTTATCTTAATAAAAATTTGAGTTTTTATGGGTTTGTAAGTGTGAAGTAGATTCAGCCTTTACATTTTTTTTCTTTTTTGCATGATTAACTAATTTTTCCATATAAATTATCTGAAGAAAATCTTTTCTAGTTTGTCTAAAGCCTGTGTATCTGCCGTATATTCTAAACTCTAATGCATCCTTCCTTTTTGTTCTAAATTAAAATAGGAAATACCCTGATTCCCACCTTATGCAGCTTAGAAAATTTGATTTTTTTTTTTCTTTAAGATTTCACCGTATTGTTAGGTATTAGAAGAGATTGCACCTATTATAATTGGGGCAATTTTTGAATTTGGTAAAATTTCTAGACTCCTGGATTCAATATGTTCCTCAGGCTAGACTTTTCAGCTTCATCTGTTCCCAAAGATACATGTGAAACCCCAGGCAGGGGTTTCTAGGATAAGATAAATGGTGTTCTAGTTTTTATTGAGCATACACCAAACAGAAGCTCTATTACATTATGAAATATATTAACACAACCCTTGCACAAAATATACAAAATGTTTATTTGAAATGTGCCATTTATCTCCTTAAATACTTTTGTTATCTAAAAGACTTGGTGGTTTTTATAAAAGTGAATGATAACTTTTGTTTGATAATGTAAATACTAATGTTAACAAATGTATTCAATAGTCACCAAGTCAAACCAGAAGACTACTGTGATACGGTACTTATATATGTATAGACAGCCTGATAATATATTTGAAAGGCCAGTTGGCCAATTTGCATACAAACAAAGATATTAATTCATTTTTATAGCATATATACTATATACTTTTTTGTCAAATTAATTAGATGACAGCAAAAACAACAACTTGGATTCAAATTTCACAAATAGCCTATCTTTTATCTGCATAACAAGGTATTATATTAGATATCTACAATTAATAAATACTTAGTAACTTACATTTACATTGAAATAAA